TCCAAACTTTCTTCCTTCACATCTGATCTGCACATGTTTATTTTTAAAGACGACATGCTTTCTAATGGTACCTGAGGCACTTTTTGATAGCTCCAGAGATCGAAGTCGGTGAAGAAAATCACTCATTTTAATATTCCCCATGTTTGGTTGCAAAAATCTGCTTGCAGAAAATCGGAGCAATCGGTATCATAGCTATTATTACCTACTTTTTTTGAGTGTACAAAGATTGCGCTGATTGAACGTCTTTTAAAAAGTTATGATTTTTGAGGAAGCCGTAATAAGAGTAAATATGATTTTTTTGGCATTTGCTTCGAAAATCATAACTTTTCATAAAGAGGTTCAATCAGCGCAAACTTGGCACAGTCAGAAAGAGCAGGCTATAAAACCTATGATGCTCCGATTTCCGTTGAGAGTTTCGATTTTGCGACCAAATGCAGAAATTTTGAGATGGACTAATTTTCTACTTCTGCTTCTATCTCTGGAGCTTGCTTCTATTAAAAAATACAATTAGGTACTATTGGAAACACAAATTTGAAAATAAACATGTGCAGATCCGTTGAAGATGTAGGAAGTATTTGGGAAAGAGAAAAGCATTTAAAACAGCAAAAACCGAGGAGCAGAGAAGGATAGATACATTAAAGCAGTGGCGGTGCAGGATACTTTTTCAAGGGGGGGGGGGGACAAAAAATTATTTGGGTTTGTGGGCGTGAGCCACCGAACAAAGGGAAATTTAGGAATGGTTGAATTTTTGGTTCCAGTTTTGTACGCCCTCGATTTTTTTAGCAAACAGGGACGTGAAGTGAGCCACACCTTCGAAAATTGCCTAGACGAACATTCAGAGTTTAGAAGAGCTTTGATCTTTCATTATCTACAGTCGTAGACTACTATGAATACTCTTGAGACCCATTATGCCCCGCCTCTTTCTTTTGATATATTTCTCACATATTTCAATTTTATCATTCAACACTATTATTTAAAAACTTCAAACGAGCTATTATCTCAAATCGTAAGTTTTGAACTTTTAATTTGAATCAAAAATTATTATTTTGTGATGTGTGCGGTATTGCGAGAGGGAAAAGGTTTGGATATCAAAAGCAGATAGTAGAAAAGGATAGACAGACGAAAAACCAGTGGCAGCGCGAGAAATTTATTTTAAGAGGGGAGGAAGGGATTGAAACTTTTGGGTTCGTGGGCGTGTGACCACTTCCAGCAAAAGAAAATTCGGGAATGGTTGAACTTTTGCGGTTATATTTTTTGTACCACCTTGATTCTTTTTAGCACAGCTCCTTTGAAAATTGTCCACAATTATTAGGTGGGACCAAAAGTACGTTCGCCACTTTTACAAAGAATAATAATTTCTTTTGACTCGATGGATTTCTTTGGCTTTATATTCATTTGAAAGAGGAAATCATTCTTTTTACAATGGTATCTCTGCCATAAATTGGCTTAAGAAAGTTCGCGAGTTAGAAGCAATTAAAGATTACTCAAGATTGGCATTTTTCAAGCAGAGTCACCAAAAAACTCTGAAATTTTTCAATAGAAAAAATTTTTCGATAGAAAAAATTATGTTCTTTACTATAGTGCCCTTTCCAAAAACAAAGAAGATTGAGAATTAGAAGCAAATAAAAAGAACTATTACTTCAGTTTTGCAATTTTTGAGCATGCTCAAAAATGTCCAAAAACGTCACAGAAAAGAGGGGATATTCACGAACATTTTGTGACCTCCTTTTAGCTGAGAGAAATTCGTGCCAATCGAAAGCAATTTCAATTTTCGTAGAAAATCAGATCCGAAAACTCGGTAATATTACGAAAATCAAAATTGCTCTCGACATTGGCACGAATTTTTCTCAATTAAAAAGAGAAGGTTAAACCCATGTTCGCATGACTTTCCCGTCCTTCTCGACGCAAAACTGAAGTAATTCTGTTTATTTGCTTCTGATTCTCAATTTTTTTTTCTGAAAAAGGCACTATAGTAAACAGCATAGCTTTCCCTATCGAAAAATACTTTTAGAATTTTTTGGTGATCCTGCTTGAAAAATGCAAATTTAAGTGGTTTTCTTCAGTTGCTTCTGATTTTCAAACTTTTTTATGCCGATTCATGGCAAAAGTACTGCTGTAAAGAGAATGATTTCCTCTCTTAGATGAGTATAGACGCAAAGAGATCCATCAAGTCGAAAGAAAGTTATGTTTTTTTTTTGAGAAACTGGCGAACGTGCTTTTGGTCCCACCTAATTTGAATCTGAAAGTTTTGAAATTATTTCAATATTCACCAAGAGCTTATAGATCACTCTAAAGTTTCGGTGACCTCCCCCCCCCCCTTGTTTTGATATATTTCTACCTAACCACTTCTGCTTTATTTAGACCCAGTGCATATTTTCTACAAAGTAGTAGTTTTAAAATATTTGCGTTATTATCTTAATCCAAGCATATAAAGTAAAGAAGTTCGACATACCTGAGCAAGGACGTCGTGCTTAAATGATGTCCCTCGGTTGAGTCCTTTTCCAGCACTCCAACAGCTTGGTGTTGCTTGTTCACATACCTGACCGATGCCTGCAACAATACTTAGAATATGGATGAGTATAGGTTTATTTACGACAAACTGAAGAAAGAAAGAAAAAAGAGAAAGAAAAGGAACAGAAGCGAAACAGTATGGAAGAAAAGAGTGCGCCATGCGCTGTTGATGTTGCGTTCGCTATTTCGCAATCGCAAATGCATGCGCTCTCAAAGTCCTGCGGAAATGCTGGCAGGTCAAAATGCCGTAGAAATCATACGAGCCTCATTGGATTTTCGCAGCGCTTCATGGAAAGGCTGCGGAAGTTCCGGTTTACGATCGCTCTGACGTGTCCTGCGGAAAACTCGCATTTTGGAGCGTGCACTTTCTCAGTGGTTAAGAAAGTGCTGCGGAATCGCTGCAAATGCTGCTTGTCTTGCGGAAGTTCCAGTGAATCGTCTGAGTCATTTATCACTTCGTTGATCACCCTATCTCTGTCGGTATTATCGCGTTCTGCTTCTTTCATTCGAAATCACATTCAATTTTACTTTAACTTTTGCAGAGGAACTTGGGCATTTGATTGTTGGGATCCCCTTCTATTGTTTCGCATCAGTATCCAACCACATGTAGTGCCGCGTTGAGGATTTGCATTTCAACTTGTTGTTGCAGCTTTAGCTGTGTCTTACCAGTATTTCGACCACAACGGTATGTTCATCTATACGCCGTTTTTAGAGTAAGTGCTGCAAGTTGAGTCCATGCTTTGCTTTTGCAGATGCAACCCTAAGACAAGATTATATTTCAAGTTTCTGGGTGCTACAATACACAAGCGAAATCAAAACGCGGAACGGCAACGTGTACGAAAACGAAGGAAAGACGCGGGAAGAGTATGTGCAATGGAGCTTGTTTTTGTTAGAAAGAAAACTAGCTTATGGTATTAGCGCGGACAAAAAATTCTCGAAGCACTAACGCATACCTTGACCACCACCGCATTAAATCCAGAAGCACTAGAAGGCTACACCGAATATCGAACAGAGCTTGCTCCATGTTCATGTCAGCTACCAGAGCTTTCAAAGTGTCCTTCAGAATTTTGTAAGAAAAGAATGAGTCATACTGCAACACTGGCCGCAGCAGACTGCAGCATACTGCAGCTGACCGCACTCACCGCAACGGCAGCAGCGGCTGAAGCCTACAGGTGGAAAGGACAAACAGTTGTAGATCAAACAAACAACAATATATACCTAGAAGCAAAAGACAACACGGGTTAGAATCTTACAAAACAGGTATATGCAATGATAGGAGGAATTAGAACGAATACGAACATACCAAAGAAAAACTATCGCCAAAACTTGATTGAGAGAAATTGTGATGGAACTTATGGTCTTCTTAGGTGTAATTCACGGTGTTTCGATAATTGCGGTTGTTTTTGCTTCTACGAAAGGACGCAGCGACTGGTGCGGTCAGTGCGGTTACGGTCAGCTGTAGTCTGCTACGGTCAGTGCGGCAGTCTGAAACAACCCTTAGTAATCTCATAGTTTCATTGTTTGCAGGTAACTACACTCCCGGTGATTGTGCGCCTATACAGCTTCCCGCTTCCATTCTCTGACATCATAACTGAGTGATGGATATTTCTTTGCTGCGGCCGATTCAGCATGGGAACAAGATTCTGGCAAACCATACCGTTCAGCAGGGTAAGATTTTCTTGGCCCTGAGCTTGTGTAAATTCTGATAAGATGTTGCGTTAAGCGCTGTTTTGAAATGGCCCGTGGTTTTTCGAATTTTAGCTTGGTACGGCACACCTGACTTTGTTTTCACTGTTTGGAAATTTGGCGAATAGGCAGGTTGGTTTTACTGCATCCCACACAATATTGCTTCTTTTACAACATATCCTAGGGATGAGGATATCGTCGTTGCTCGAACGTCTGCGGAATCACCCCCAAAATCCCAATAGATGGACACGTACTTAAATCTACACATGGCTGCGCAGAGCGCGCCCCATGACCCAGTACAAATTTAGCCGGCGCGCAGGGAATTGGCGCTGGGGCGCGCTATAGTGCTGGGACTTGGTGTTTTCATCACGCTCACTTCTCCATTCTTGATAGAATGCTCTACTCTTCTATTTGCTTCGGTGTTTTCATCACGCTCACTACTCCATTCTTGATAAAGTGCTTTACTCTTCTGTTTTCGTCCGTAGCTATCTCTGCGCCAAGTGTTTGTTAACAATCTTTTTTTTTGCAGGTTTGTTGCAAGCATAGGTAGTATGGCGATTGAGTGTGACTGTAACTGCAGATAATCCTTAAACATCTTTAGCACAAGCTCAGATATTCCTGACCGATTTGGCTCTCATTTCATACGGGCTAAATTTCTAGCGGAACATCGTGTGTATGTGAATATTTATCTTGCCTCTTTTCTGTAACCTCATTCAAACTTCAAGATTTTTACCACATGAACTCTCTCGCTGCTTTTTTCGCCTCTTCACTCAAACTCCCATACTTCCCCGTTCTTTCTGCAGATGGTGAAGAAATCACTGGAACTTGGACCGAAAAAGAAGGAGAAGCGTTTGAAGAAAAAATTGGAGCCCGTCAAGAAGGAACCGGAAGTCCCTGCTGCTAAACAGTCGTCTTCAAAGGACAGGAAAGGAATTCAAATATGTGTTGCTTTTACATTCTTTCGTGAAGTCGCTGTGGTTTTTCTCTTCAGTTTTGCGGTATTCCATTAGTGAGCGTTGCTCTGCTAAAAGGCAGCTGTTTCTGTAACGGGACAAATTGAATGAGTATTCTTTGGTTGTTGGGAATTTTCCAGCGTACTTGCCGAAGGTATGTTCTATGGTGATGCTTTCAGATTTCCATCCCGCGTTTATATTTTTACATCAGCTTCCGAAAAATTTCATAGAATGGCAGAAGAATTGTTGTCATCTTCCTTTGGTAGCCTTGCATTGAAGTTCATTTTTTGATATTTTCACTAATGCTGCAGGGCACAGTCGAAGGCTTTATTGGACAGTTTGTTCCCGTACCAATAAGTGAGGTCGTTGTGCAGAGAAGCAATGCTGTGGATGGTCAGTTATGTAAGTCGCTGTTCATTCTAGATTATGTAATAGCTTTGGTATTATAGGGGCAACCAAGGTCTCAGTGAGATTTGAAGATTCCAAAGGCGTTGATATAGCCCTTTCGAAATGTCACGATGTCGGACCATACAGGGTGTGCGATTTTGTCGACTCTGAGATCACCCGTTCTTCAAAGTAAGAGAGTTCGATAACCCAATTTTTTCAAAAAATAGGAAGTGTTCTCTTCAGATTTTGTAGCACTGTATCGAAGTTTGTTCTCATTACCTGAAGAAATACAAAAATCCGGCACGATGATAAATCTTCAAGGCAACACGGGTAGCTGAGCGCAAACTTCGAACCTAATGAGGAAGGATGGATAATTGTTACCATAGCCGCGAAGAGGGTGAGTTACTCCACTCGGCTTATTTTTGTGTGTGTGAGTTGCTGCAAAGATTTTGAATTTTGATGTTTTCTAGGTGGGGAAGGTTATGAAGGTTAAGAAAGATGAGGTGCCATTGATGGGCGGATTCAACAAAAAGAAGAACCATGTGAGTTGCAATATCAAGAACTTAAATGTTTACTTTCCCCGTATATTGTTTGATTATAGGTCGATCCATGTCTACCTTGTTCTTGTGATCTGTTTCTGTTGTATCTTATTTTTTGAGGAGTTATATCATGCAGTGTTTACATGTCGTCTGCAGATGTGATAAACAAATACAGATCAAAGAGACTGCAGAGATTTATTACTAGGTTTGAGATCTGGGTTGTCAATGTATGTATGTACAAATGTGGACTTCTCTTCAGTCATCTCAACAAGAAACAGATCAGATACCAATCATACGAGCCACAATTAGCAAATCGTACATGGTAGTTTCGTATTGAGACAAAGGCAAAGGTAATATATGGAGTTGATTGACTGGATGGAGCTAATGATTAGTCGAGCAGAAAAAACATGAAATTCTAGAGCTTTTGCCAAACTAATTGTTTCCTATCGAAAATGAATGAGCTCTCTTATTTTTTACCGGTCACAATGGCAATTTTCCCAAGGAACATGGCATGTTAGAGTGAAAATGCAAGGAACTACATTGGGTTTTGAACGATGCATAGGTAGATACAGCGAGGACTAAGCTAAGCAAGGCATATAGTGTCCGTTTTTACAGCATGTGCACAGCTTGTGCGGCACTGCTCGTCCACACGCTGCATGGGCCCAGATTCTGCAGACGTCGCAACGCAGCCATTCAGTTACTTGTGCTTCAAATTCATGGGGATTGATGTCAGGTGGCAGAAGCGGGTCTTTGTACAAACATGTTCCGCAGACGTTTCTCATCTCTGGCGCGACGGCTATTGGCTCCACCTGCTTTTTGTTTTGAATGGCTCGTCGTTTTTTCTGTTTACCTCTGTGCAACGAATCATTAGGTGTTATGCTGGCATAGAATTGTTGCACTCACCGTTTCTAAACGTATGGTCGGTTAGATGAGGTTTCGCTCCCACACGATTGATTTCAGGCCTTGGCGCGAGTCGTATATCGTCTTCTTCATAAGACAATGCCAACTTTTCGACTTCTTGTATTTGTGCAACAAGTCCCATCAGCTTGTCAAGTGTATCGTTCGAGTCCATCTTGACGAAACGTTTTACTCGATCCTCGATCACCGTGATGCTCTGAAACACTCAAGGTTAGAACGGACAAATGATATTTTATCAACTATCTTCGCCGTCCTCAACAGCTCCAATCTCTTTTCCTTATCGTTCGAAGGTTGCGCTGCCGTTTGGGCTGTACGGAGGAGTGGTTCTCCACCGGATAATAGCTGCTCCGATGCTTCGCTGCTGGCTCGTGATGTCTCCTCCGCTGCACTATCTGCTGGTGGGGTTTCTTGCAGTGCTTCAGATCCGCGCAGGGATTCCTCCGTCGCTTGTTCGGACATGTTGGTATACATCATTATGGCGTGCATGTGTTCGCAGCTCACACCCGACCTAGCCGCATTACCACATGTGCATTGCAGCAAATATGGGCATACGCCGCATGCCCGGCAGTGTAGATTATCCTGAAAAAGAAGAATAGGTACAAAAGCTTAGTTTGAGAGATTACTGCTTACCTTTGCATCACAATCACAGTGCAGATTTGGTAACATGGTAACAGCATATATCTTGTTCGTAGTCACTGCTTCTACACGCCATCTTCCATGCGCGACTTCCGTGATGTGGTCTCTGTGATTTTCGTAGTCCTTCAATGCGGTTCGATGACCAGCGTGGCACTCACGGACTCGAAATGGGCGTGCTAAGCTTCTCCGGTCCTGAATATAAAGCATATTGTTACTCGTTCACATTGTAATTATAGTTCTTACCATAATGAGGAAAGAAGCTGCTATCTCCCCTGGCGCCTTGATCAGCACGTCTACGAGATAGTCGGCCCTCGCATTCGAATTCCTATGGAGGTACTCAGTCTTCAACCATGCCATCGCTCCGCGATCATTGTTGTGTTGAAAATGATGCCCTATCGAGAGAATCCGGCCCATTCTTCAATCCTCCCTAAACGCCTTTATTCGTGACATGGATCATCCTTGGATTACAGAAAATCTAACCGAGGTAATAGCGATGCAGGTACTGTACAAACGTTGTTTGTCCTTTCTGGTCCAGAAAGCTCAAAACCTCCGTCAGACGGTTTTGAAAGTTTGATTCATCTGATATCCGGAGAATTTCAGAAAGTGCTTTTGCGAGGGGTTCGCGAAACTCAGCCTAATAACACGCATCTCACCCGATGACGTATTCGCTCGAGGCATTACTCACCCTCACCAAATCCTTTGCCTTTCTCATCCAGGATTGCAATATATGAAAGCGACAAAGCAGTAAGTTGGTCTACTCTCCGGGAACGCGGCTTTGAACCCGTTATAAAAAGCTAAAGCCTCATCAGAGAGAAAGACCCTCGGGTTGAAGTCTGGGACTGCCCTCTTGACTTGTTCGAAAAGGATTTTGACCTCATCCACAGTCATCGTATTTGATAGAAGAAATGCTGAAAATATCCCTTCTCGTAGGCAGTGCAGTGGAAGTTGTTTACCTGCAGGTAATCCCCGATCTTTCTTATCTGCAACCATCAAAGCTGCTAAACGTAGATTGTAACGGGTGATGCTAAAGGTGTCATCCAAAGCGACACCTGGGTGAGCATAATCACTTGACCACTGCTCTTGCAGTGGAGTAATAATAACCGAAAAAGCGTAAACTAAAAAAACAAGCAGTTTCATGCACAAACCAGCCATGAATCCGGCACCACTTGCATTTTGTGGAAGGTTCAAAAGCCGAATTCCGTCATCGTTGTTGCGTCCCTCCAATCGCTTTTTCAAGGATATTATGTCATTGTCATCACGACATCCTGGTCGCAGCTCGTATTTTACTACAATATTCCTAAAAAAATTTTCATAGTGGAATGGTTATTGATCACATTAGAAAGATACCATAAATCTTGTTTGTTCATGTAAAACAGTCTTGATTTTTCTGGACTATTGAGTTCCCGCAATTTCTTGACAATGTAATCAAATGTAAACTCTGAAACGAGTGCGTTATTCCCAAAACAAAAGTCATTTGCCGCACCTTCAATCATATGTTTCACATATTCTTCTTCTGCAGACAAAAGCCTGAGTAATGCTGGATTGAGGTCATGCCCCGCATGCCCGAAGCATGCCGAGACCGTAACGCTCCCATCAACGTTCTTATTGACGTTTGTAAAGGCTGAACAATGCTTCGGTCCCTTTCGAGAAATGGCGACTCTTTCGCGACCACCTGTCTGATGCACTTCTCCAGCTCTGTTGCATCTAAACTTTCTGATGTGTCATTGATTAGAGTTGCAATTCAAGTAACCTCAAAGAAAGCCGTTGCCTTGATGTTGATCGGCAGAAAAAAGACGTCATGAACTTCTTAGACATATCGTCTCTCCACTCCTCAAGATCGTCTTCATTAGCTAGATTGTGGTTACAATTTATAGAGTCAAGTACGTCGAATTGCCTTTGGTTCTCAAAGTGCGAGTGATTACAGAATAATTTTGGGGACGCCCTTCGGCACCATCCTCGGAATGCACCGCATAGCAATGATCTGCCAGAGCGTGATGGTCGGAAAGTGTGGTGGAACATAATGGACATTCGAGAACAGGCTTTGATCGCATTGACACGTACTCTTCCATAGAAAGGCCGTGGAGATTCCTCAGATGGGCGTAGAGGTTTTTTTTCAGCATCTCTCGGGACACAGGGAGCAACCGATTCTGGTTGATGACGACCTATGTTAACAATATCAGAACTCATTTGGCGCTATCTCAATTCCGGCCGCAAAGTTATGGAGCCATACATATAGCCAAAACTTTCTTTATGGATTTAGGCGTGCTGATTATGGAACCGCACGCGCATGACGCAGCTAAGCCTTACTATGAAGCTACGGTAGGTATATGGCGCCAGGTCTCCGATTTTGCCAAACTATCTGATAATGTAACGACCATCATCTTTTTCACTAATGGACTTTTTGTGGAAATGCATTTATTAGCATGTGATTAGCTTTCAATTTGGCAAGTTACATAACCTCGTTCTACAACGTTGCAAGTAAATTCGCAATACTGACTTCCACCGCTACCCCATAAAATGGCCGTAGCATACCTAGTAACCCCAGGACCATGATCGAGCGAAATACAGACGTAATCAGTTACGTTACAAGACATTGCTTCTACTCAAAAGAGCATTCTTTCGGTCAAACAGGCGAATATTTTTCAAAAAAAGAACAGACATACTAGAATGAATGATGAAAATTGATTTGAGGTATTACAAAAACTTGATGTTAGCCGTATCTTTCACACAAACGGAATTACTGAAAAATACAGACTGACAGATTGCTTTCACAAAATACAGTGATTAGCGGGTACAGTGGTGCGTGCGCCCGTAACTCCAATTACTGATGACATCGATGAATTGACAGGCTCATACATATTAAGTAACAGGTAAAGCTCTTTGAGAGTGATGTACATTAGAAAACCAACAAAGGATTGCAACCAAACATACAAGAAAAGCTCGCGAGATCCTGCTGACGGCTGTTCTGGATCAGGCTGTTGGTGCGGAACAGCTGATCTTCGACTTTTCTCATTACGAACTAATTTGGATCTGTTGGCAATCGCGCCATCGCCAACTCCGGCTTTTGCTGGCTAAAAATCAGGAAATTTTACATCTAAAGAAGAAGTGGGCAGATGAACTCACAAGTGCTCGCACTTGGAGCATCATGTAAAAGCATTGGCAATACGCACGTTTTTGGCTTTATGGTAAGCCAAACATACACCTGCAAAGAAAGGTCGTAGATACAAAGTAGACTGTATGCAAAAATCTATTGATGTTAGGTGAAGGAATGTGACAATGAGGATAGTGAACATCAGGGCAATCTACCAACTGTACTAATACTACGAAAAAAGTAAAAGGCGTGATTATATTACCTAAGGTATAGCGATCTGACACTTTACATCAGAGTGAACTTATTGCGTTTACGTAAAAGACTCACCTTCACCAGAAACAAGTTTTCTTCAACTTGAGTTTCGGCCAAAAGATGTCCTTCTGAGCTCAGCGTTTCGTACAAACGATCCGAATAAAACTCAGCTTGTCTCACGACGGCAGCCGCACCTGAAATACTATATATCCGTTCAAAACACTCTTGCGATAAGCTAAATCTCAACTGCAATGGATGAGAGCTAGTAGAAAGCAGCGCCGACCAAATTCTCGGGACTGACATGCAAGTTATTACAAGTAACTTACTCAGTTGTAACCTCATGATCAGTTTATAATACAGTAGTTACGATAGTAAGACAAAAAACTCCACGCTTGACGACAGACAGATCATTTACAAAATTATTGCTGCGGGATTACGAAATCCATCAACCATCATACAGCTTGCAACAAACCTGCAAAAAAGATTGTTTACAAACACTTGGCGCGAAGATAGCTACGGACGCAGATAGAAGAGTAAAGCACATTATCAAAGGAGCTAGTGGGCGCGTGATGAAAACAGACAGAGATATGACAGTAAAACACATTGTCGAGAATGGAGCTAGTAAGCGCGTGATGAAAACACAAGTCCGAGCACTATAGCGCACCCCAGCGCCAATTCCCTGCGGGCCGGCTAAATTTGTACTGGGTCATGGGGCGCGCTCTGCGCAGCCATGTGTAGATTCAAGTACGTGTAATAGATGGAACCATGCTGAAACATTTTTGCATATTTCATGTATTGAAAGTTTCAATAGTTGTGCTTACAACTGTGTACACTTCTCTATTCAATAAGTAGTGTTAGCGAAGTAGAGATGTACGTGAAATAGCGCGCTCCAGCTGCGTCCTGACAGGATTTGATGCGCTCGAGCTGCCTACCTAGTAGCTTGTTGGGCTTGAAATCTCTGCAAAGGATGGTCGGAGCTTAATTGTTAGAAGCGATTCCGTGCCCGCGTCTCCGACTTCTACCGGGGAAACAAGTAGTACGCTTTTTGTGGAGGCAGGGAGTCCGTCAGCCGGTTCCGCTTGTTTTATCAGAGCATCGGGATCGCTTTTCGTTGGCGATTAGCCCTTGTTTGTACCTGGGAAACCTTACATAGCCTCGCGAGTAACCGGCTGGGATCCCTCTACGAGGAGAATCCGTGGATTCAAACGAGCAGACAATGACAGTACAAACGTAAGAATCTAGTAGCTTGTTTTGTTGTCAGGCTTATAGAATGAATTTTACCAAAGGAAAACAGGAAATTTTGAAGAAAAGCTGTCGAAAACGGATTATTGCCCTCCTCAGATTTCTGTTTAACACACTGATAAACGCTTGACACACATGGTGTGCCAAGCCATGACTATCGCGTGGGACCGCTTGACACACCATAAATGTCAAGGCTTGATTATGGTTAAAATGGCTACTATCCTGGAATAAACTCACTCCACGAGCTTCCTTTTGCACTAAATCTAAGCATGACCTTTGCCTTTTTTTGCCAGCCTTTCATATTTACTGTAGGCGTACTGTAGATGGCACTATGCATGATTATAGTTGAAAAATGTGGGCTGATCCATAGAAGGCCTTTGTCCCAGAAGCCACACAACTAAAAATCTGCATGGCCGTCAATGTGCCAATGCCAAAAAACCTTTTTCAATTTCGCGCTAAGTCGGGTTATGACGCATTTGAATCTGAAGCGGGCTCGGCACGAGCTGGCACCAGGGAAATTTCAAACGAACTTTCTTTTGATCTTGACAATTTCGTACGAAGTCCTTCGACCCTACACCATAAACGTAAAAACCTCAAAGGATCTCGGCTAAAAAAACGTCGCAATTTTTGTGTCTTTTCGGCCGCAAAAACAGCATCGTCTTTGATTTTTGTCCCAAAAATGATATCCAGCTTGACCCGGTGCCAGTTGTGCCGATCCCTGATCTGCAGAGTAGATTGAGAGCTTCCAAAAGGGTTTCCATTTTATTCCAAATGAGGTCAATACTGCCGAGAAACTACTGAAAAAGCACAACCTAATGTATTTATTAGTAATAAAAGGGATGATAAAAGAATAGTGATTGATAATGGAGAAACATGATATTGGCTGGACAGCGCATTATGTAGCACTTTCCCCTCCCTCCCTTCCCCCCCCCCCTCCCTGCATATGGAGCTTAACAATTATGGCGATTGCAGATCATAGTGAAGCAATTAGTTAGTCACAACCATAATAATGATTGATTTTGCATGAATTTTGCGCTTGAATTCGGTAACGTTAACGGGGCAAGAAATCCGCTGCCTCTTTTATTTGCGAATGACTGCTCGCAGAGAATTGAAATGCTGGTAATAGTGCGCAATGCCGTACAGCCTGTTCTTATTGCGTGCTCGCTCTTATAGCATATGCTTGATTTACAATGAATAGCATATTATTTGAAGCTACTACTCAATCTCTAGCAGTTTCTTCTCCTCAAGGTTCTGTATGATTTGTTTTGCAGAGAAAATATATGAGGTTGTTACATAAGTCTCGTTGCACTCTGACTCTTTATAATACTTTTTGATTTTTATGATGCATTAGGCTGGGTTCATACTGAGCCGCACAAAGCGGCACAGTTCCAGCACAGCGCTCGAACTGTGCCCGAACTTGCCGGAACCGTGCTGCATGCGCAGTTGGAGTATTTTGACCGTTTCTAACGGGTTTTCTTCTAGGTTTCTCTCATTTCAAGCCTTATTCCTCCACCCCGCTTCTCCTTTTGATGAGCGGAACTCCAAGCGCAAAGCGGGTTGAGGAATAAGCGCTGTTCTGCTCTGTGTGTCCGATTATGCGTGTTGTTCCGCTCGTTCATCGTCTTTTCGTTTTATTCTTGCATAAAACTATTCCATTTGTTTCCAGGAGGACGTTGCGATATTTTCGCAGGCAAGAAGAGCAAAAGAAGAGTGCGGAAGAGCAGGAATTCCCATCACTTTTGGGCTCCCAGCCCCCGTTCTTTTTCCGTTTCATTGTTTTTTCGTTCTTTGTTTTACCCCGCTTCCCTTTCTCTTGTGTAGCTAGCGCTTCGAACTTGAAGTGGGGTAAAAGAATGAACGCAGTTGTGCATCACGTATCCTCCTAGCCTCGTTCTTCTTCTATTTCATTTCTTTTTCGTTCTTTTCCGAACCCCGCTTCAAGTTCGAAGCGCTACACAACAAAAAGGGAAGCGAGGTAATACAAAGAACGAAAAAACGATGGAACGGAAAAAGAACGGAGGCTGGGAGCCCAAAGTGATGGGAATTCCTGCTCTTCCGCACTCTTCTTTTGCTCTCCTTGCCTGCGAAAATATCGCAGCGTCCTCCTGGAAACAAATGGAATAGTTTTATGCAAGAATAAAACGAAAAGACTATGAACGAGCGGAACAACACGCATAATCGGACACACAGAGCAGAACAGCGCTTATTCCTCAACCGCGCTTTGCGCTCGGAGTTCCACTCATTAAAAGGAAAAGCGGGGTGGAGGAATAAGGCCCGAAATGAGAGAAACCTAAAAGAAAAACCGTTAGAAACGGTCAAAATACTCCAACTGCGCATGCAGCACAGTTCCGGCACAGTTCGAGCACAGTTCGACCGCTGTGCTGGAACTGTGCCGCTTTGTGCGGCTCAGTATGAACCCAGCCTTAGGGAACCATTCGATAGAGCAAAGCAAGTTCTAGAGAATGGCGTGCGAGTGTTTGCACCTCTATTACCTCAAACTTCAAGCCCAGACCTGAAAAGTTCTGGGTCCTAAGAGATGTAGAAACTTCATACCTTCGTCCAAAAATTCCTACAGAACTCTCACTCGCGCAGCACACTCATATATACCTGTCTCAAGAATGCAGTCCCCAAGCGGAACCAGGCCGAACCTTAAAGACAGTGGATCGGCAAAACTTAACAACGCATGATTTCAACGCAGTAGGTTCCTTATCGCCCAAGTATGAAAACAGTGCAATCCCGGTTGCACAGCATGCCTTCCCTGCCGAGAAAACTGCTCTCAAATTTACACGCGCAAGCCAATCTTACACGCATCTGGACGAGTTGGCAATTTCCTTCTCACCATTGGAGGCTGCCCGCCGCAATGCTATAACCATTGGGTCCTGCAGCGACTCAGCGTCATCAGCCCTGCTACTCGCCAACTTCAAAGGGAAGGGCGTTTTTTTTTTGCCGTTTTCAAGCTCTCTAAAGTGGATTTTCGGGATCAGTGTATTGAATAACCCCATGTAAGCAAAAATTTGACTAGGTTGCGATTTGCCGAGCCACTGCCTTTAAGCGTAAATTTGCGCGCACGCAGAGCTAGGAATTTGCGCTGCATATGCGCGCTGTCGAAGATAGCGAAGAGATTGAAGAGAGGACAAACAAGCAGGCCGCAGGCGTGAGACAGATTGCTCGCGATGCGGACTTCATGCCAATTTTGGCTTGATTGAGACTGTGATAGACTGTACAAGAACAGTGAATACGACTGTCTGAAGTGGAATATTGATGCTTGTGCGAGTAAGAGATCTGTTTTTTCTTTGAATTTTTGGGCACCCAAAACTTTTTAGGTTTGGGTTTCAACTCTGAGGTGCATCGAAAGTCGTACAAACGTTTGCATGTCAGTGCATTGCCTTGCTCTATCCGATGGCCCTCTGAACGCTCTTAAAAAGTATGGAGTGTATGGCTTACTCTGGTAAAAATCAAAGCGTTACAAAACTTATTAAAAACCCAATAAATATTGTCAAGAGACCGTTGAAATCCTCTATGCATGATTGTGTTTGTACTCTATCGATTTGTTTAACACGTTGACGACAGTGCCGCGCAATGGTGCGCGGCGGCCTTAATTTCAATACTATCTGTCCAATCCTCTCAGTTTTTGTTCATGTAATCAACATAGGCTCAGATATACTTCATGTATTAGCTCCGCCCTTTTTGGCAAACTCCGCCCACTCCTATGCCTCCCACAAGAGCCATTTTTGTTCATAAAAAGCATGGATGAGGCCGTAAATGAACGCAAAGACCTCAAACAACTATCAGCCAGGCCCCTCACACCTTCAGGCAAGCTCCGCCCCCTAAGTGGCAAGCTCCGCCCCCTGAGTGGCAAGCCCCGCCCACTTTTCAAAAATGCCGGAATTTGCACGAATTCATTAATTTTGGGCAATTTCCAGCATTTTTGAAAAGTGGGCGGGGCTTGCCAAAAGTGGGCGGAGCCGCCCCGCCCACCTGCATTTTTGTATCTCACGCATAGATGCATGCATACATACATGCAGCCAGCTGTGAAAGTGCCGGGAAACGGTTCGTCCACAGGGACAGACCTTCAAAAAATGGCTCGTCGTCAACGTGTTAAAAAACGTATTTTCTTGGATTTGAGGCCTAGATCGGTTGGAAAATTTTTTGCATCATCGATGCTCACCAGTTTGATGGCAACTTTGAGATGCAAAAACATCTATTGCTCATTACGAGGGGCGAGTAATCGTGTAAGGAGGAAGCAACAGTGTGAATTATTGTATTAGTACTCTAAATGAGCATTATTTTGGTAGCAATCAAAGGAAATAAGGACTGCGTAAAATTTACGACACAAAAACACGGATTATAATCTCCAAAACATTGCTATTACATATTGATTATGTTACATTCTCATGGCTGTTTTAAACTTGCACAGTCTATAAACATTTGTTATTTTCCTGCTCAAATCTTTTGGGGGATCTTTTACTTACTCCATACATACTCAGCGCTGTATAACTTTCTTAGCAAGATTGTAAGGAAGTCTGAGCAAATTGACCTTACGTCGTACATCTACTTTCCCAATGAATTAATTTTTTAAATCTCGTGCATACTTCACGCTATTTCAGTGCCACGCGATCTGGCAGTTTGCCAGGTCCCTTCCAACACTGGCAGGCTACCAATGCATAGCGCTATAATATTTGTGAATTGTTAGAATACCTTATCCCCTGTACGTTTCGAATACCCTTAGCACTTATACGCAGTTGGAGATTGAGTTTGAGACTTTTTAGAGTTTGTGATCCCACTAACTGAATTAAAGCTACAAATTCAGTCATCACTGCATTATGGACTATGTTGTAAACCGTTGAGAATGGATAAAAGATAAAAGATAAAGATACGCAGTTGGAGTATTGCCAAATCGCTTCGCGGTTGAAATCGCGTGATAACGTATATCCGAGGCCTTGCTAGTCCAGCGATTTTTGTGATTTCTGTGTTCTCCTTGATTCCTTAATTTTCAAAATGGTTCTGACGCAGGAACTCGTACGTCTCTTCAGTGATGATGATTCTAACAACTGCATTCGAGTTGTCATTTTTTTGTGGAGGTATTAGTTTTTGTGCTCCATAGATAACAGAATTACAGGAATCAAGGGACCAGAGGGAGCGCAGAGATTATTGGAATCGCAGGAATCACAACAATACTATGACAGTATCACTAACATAATGTATAACCCGATTTACCTTAGTGAAGTAAGTAAAAATCTCTAAAATTCAACCCATCAAAAGAAAGATAAAAGCTTTGCCACGCATGTTTCCGTTATCTGAAAGATTTTTGATCGTATTTCGAGTTGTAAATAGTACCATACAGTACCCCACTACAAGTGCTATGTCCTAGAAATCAATTTACAGTTGTTCTCTAGATGTTTCCAAAATTTCGGATTTGTACTTTCAGTGTTCCTCGCAATATACTGATCTCAGCTGTTCGCGTCTGTTAAAAAGCTGATTTTCTATTCGAACCGAAACTGCGGCAGACTTCAATCCTCACTAAGTCAAAGAGATTTGCATATCGATATTCGACGAATCTTCATGAAAATTCATCGAGCTGCCTTTGCCCTTGCATTTATTTGTTGAGCATTGCTGTCGTGTGGCATTGTTTGAGACTTTGCTTAGGATATGTTATTCTTCTGTTGGTAATCAATCCACTTATTAGCACATCGACATCTTTAGCCATTGCTGATTGATCGCTATCCATCAGTTTGCAATCACTATCTATGGATAACGTGATTTTAGCAAAGGCTCTCAATTCTTCTTTGTTCATTGTTAGTATAAGTCGGATAGAATTCGTAGTTATTTGCAGTTCCTCCTAATTCAAATTTGTTAATCCCTAATCTAACGGCATACTCTATAAGGAACAAATGGTCTGTTCTCGACACCAGTAGCCTTTTACCGCTTAATCATACGCACGAAACTTGCGCAGGATCTCTCGAAATCCAGATCGTTGAATCCAGCCCGAAAGCGAATCGATTTCGTGTCTACAAATCATATCAACATTGTGCCAAAACGGTTTTTCCTCTTCAACCAACGATGATCAATCATATTTTGAGTGCGCTTATCTTTTCTAGTGATCTAACTTTACAGTCAACTCTACTTTTTATAGCATATTTCTCTTGTTATCCATCTTTGAAATGTCCGAAGGTAATTGATTATGACACCGTAACAGCTTTTTTCTGCTAAGATGTTGAAGGACAGCACCAAAGCGACGAATTCCGACTGTCCTTAATACTATGAAGCAATTCTTTCGTCGATGTTGATAAGAAGTTCTTAGTTTTGAGTTTCTTGTCATGCTTCATTCTCATCATTTGATGGTTTCATTTTTTCTTCGAAGTTTCTAAGGTCATTCGTAATTTTCTTTTTTCATGAGGTTTTTGGTCATAATGTGGTAAGACCAGAAAGAATATTGTAATAGAGCAAATGAATATTAATCTGCTCTATTATTTATTTAGTAAAAATTCCTAATTTCGGTTAGATAAACACTTAAAGTAAACATTGCAAAAATCTGTACCCTAATCTAGTGCAACTTTACGAAAATTTTTTTTAATTGTGTGCTTTCACTGCTGCTGCAACTTTCATACACTCAAAAATATATTTACAAAAAACATAACCAGATGTAGAAAATATCGAAACATGTCTTCTGGCAAGCAATGTCTCAAAAATAACAATCATTCCTTTTTCAATAAATCAGTTATTGCTAACTATTCCCTGAAGATTTTTTTAGGTTAAGTATGGATTAGTTAATTTTTTAAATGTTACTGCTTCATGATAAAAATCATAAAATCGTACAAGCTTTTTTTGTTAAAATGTTTGATTACGCAGGTATGGTACATTATTCAGATACTAAGTTAATCGTGATTCCTTACATTTGCCATTTTATGAAATCAAAAATGCTTAGTTCAGCGCTAGAATTTCTGAGATTTTCAAAGTGACGTTGTGTACAAGACGTGTTTTCGAAGTTTATATCGTCTCTAAATCAACTGTAATAATTTTCAAATATGAACCATAAATCGCTTTCATAAAAAACGAAGACCTTCAAAATTACAAGAAAGAAGACTGTCATTAACGCTACTCGAGATTGGGGATTCGATCAGCCCTTGGACATCGATCATGTTCGCGGAAATGTTTGGAATCTATCAGAGTTCAATTTAATAGGTCTCGCTGCTTCCGAAAAAAAAAGCGCTTGTCATAACTCATGATTGATCATGGGAAGATTTAAGACCCAGTCTGCACTCAAAATGAGTCGAAACTCATGGATTCTGAGGGCTCATAGTACGACGAGCTCATTTGATTAAAAAGATCTATTGCAAAGTCATAAACTCTCTGAACCATTCGATAAAACCCAAAGAATTTTTGAGAATGAACGGCAGCGTGGCAAAAATTACAAATCTGACTGGTTCGATTTTGATCAGTTGAGATTTTTTTATGACGCGTTTCAAACACAGTCTTGACATCGAATTTATGGGTACAAATTTTCGTATATATAGCCGGAAGGATTTCCTCGCAAGGTATTTTCCTCACTGAAATTTGATCCCATTACTCTTGAATAGTTTCTATCAAATAGTGTGCGTCACATAAAATATTCTATTTAAAAGTGAATTTTCTTCTGCGTCTAGTGTCTGTCATAGAGAAATTTCTGTTTAGTATGACTCTCAAGTACAGGCAAAAGTCACCTCTTTCTGCTTGTGCCATTCTGAACTTTTACTCGATCTTTAACCTCTAATAGTTGGGGGCTTTATAAGCACCGTGGCCATGAAAAGTTCTTTTTAAGTGCCCGAATTAGCCCGATTTTTTCTAGATCATTGCATCAAATTCACCTGCTTTCTCTTGCATCTGCACTTGTCACCATACCTTTGACTATTTTATTCCTACCCGACATTGTCAGGGCATATGTCCTTTCATCTACCGGTTTTCTGTCACTGTGTTTAACTAATCGTGAACTCTTTCCGACACTTTCGTCATTTCTTTAACATTCATTCTTTCTGTGAGCAAAACACTTTGTTTTGTTTTTCTAGCAGCGTATGTGGCAAAAGTACGTATGCCTGTTACTCATTTTGGTCTGTTACTCACTTGCAGAAGAGGAGCATGCAGGGAATGAAACACAGACACGATTTCAGGTTAGTTTTACTTCGTATTTTTTCTTATACTTGCAATCTTTGACTTTAATTCGAATATGCAAGTTAGCAGTTATGCTTTATGAAGGAAAAAAGCAGCATTTTTCGAAAAAACCAAATTCTAGGTAGTTACACTCCGATGGGCACCGAACGAAACCACTTATATCGTCGCCACATGGCTGCTAATTGCCGCTATATCGAAAATTTGTAAGTTAATCATTATTTATAGATTGTCTTGCCTCGTCTGATGATCCTGTCGATTTCACCTTGTATCCTTTTTCTAAGAACCTTGAAATTGCTCAGAAATTACGCGGAATTTTGTTTGAACTGAGAAACTTTGAAAGGGCCTTGGTGACGTTTTGTATCAAATTCTTTTTGAGAACTTATTCGTGAAAATTTACAAAGAAGGAGCTTTTACAATCTTATTCTTCCTCTCCCTTCTTCTTTTTTGTAAAAAATTGATTCGCGACAATTCTGATAACCCAAACACGGATTTATCATACATCATCGTCCAAAGAATACATTTAGAATGCTTATGACTTACCCAGGTAGCTCATCTGGGCTGGGGGCAGACAAATTCGATTCAAGGGTCTTCGCTGGCTCTTGAAATCATTGCTTTAAAAAACATTATGAATCTGCAAGCTCCCTTAAGTTAGCAAAAAGAATCTACTTGACCCAATTTTGCCAACCTCTCCTCATCCACTTATCATTTTTTGAAAAAATGGGTTCTCACAAAATTAATGCCAGGGTCTCTGGTGATAAATCTTCTGCCCTAAATACCTTCTTGAAATAAATTATCTATGAAACTACGAGGTGTTTTGAGCGACGTAAAAAAAATTCACTAGCGTCTCCAGCTTTACCCCCCCCCCCACGCTTTTTACCGTTATGTAAAAAATCGCTTCCTAATGGCTGCCTATTACAGTATTCCATTTATACAAACCGATTGCGAACGCATTCCCGGACTCCTCACTACTGATCGCAGTGGGACTTTTACTTGGGCTGTTACTCAAACAATCCGGAGCACATATTCCTTACTCTCTGAATGCCCATGTGTTCTTCCTCTACCTCCTGCCACCCATCATTTTTGATGCAGGTAAAAACACTTCATATTCTTTACCATGACAGATGAAAACTCAAGATTTTTGCAGGTTATTTTATGCCGAATCGAGCCTTGTACGAGAATTGGGTCTCCGTACTTCTTTTCGCCGTAGTAGGAACCTGTTGGAATTGCATAGCTATTGGTAAGTCGTTCTCACCAATGTTTCATGTCTGGCTCGTCTCCCGTACTCTTCAAATCAATTGACTATTGATGCGATTTATGGAGCCGATGAAAAACGACATACGTTCCTAGCAGTAGGGACCGGTTTTCAGCGATGTACGCCACACGCTAAGCGCTTATCCTTAATTCGAATTGTTGTGCAATCATTTTTTGAAACATAAGCGCTGAGATGCAAGTCCGAGAAGTCTCTAGTTTTTTTTTTTCGAGAAATACGGAGGAATTTTGGCTTTTTCACTTTTTCTTGGGAGCATGCCATTTGTCTGCCATCTTTTCTGCATTTCTCAACTCGCAGTGCTTTGCATGCAGTGCTTTGCATTCATTCTGCAAATATCCTACAACCTTGGCTATGACACTATTCCAAAATCTAGAATGAATCTTTGCCCGGACTTCTCATGTGTATTTTTTCGTGGAGTGCAAACTCTGGCGTAAAAGTAGATTTTGATAAACATTTTCTTTAGCAGAAAGACGGCGAAATGCTGATGCCAAATGATGCATACATGAAAACTGAGTGAAAAACAATTGCAAAAAGAGTGGAATTAATGGAAAGATTACTGTATAAGTAGTATAATGTATAACAGGTTTTTTTGTGGAATTTAAAAAATCACCAATTAGTGCGACTGCTGCCCCAAAATTCATTTCTGGACTATTTAATATAATAAGCGCTCAATTTTGAGTTCTTTGTTTTGGCACCTTCCAAAAAAACCTAGGACCTATTGCGAACTTGGCAAACTTCCACTACAGGTCCTTTTGGGGATTTGTGTCCATCTTTGGTCTATCGCATAGTGTATAACACCAGTTGTTCCCAACAAAGTACGTTCAGGAAGCTCGCTACTGTTTCTTTCACGCTATGGACTCTTCACCGTCGAATTCTCCACAACGGAGATTTTCGTGTTTTCTTCACTGATCTCGGCTGTTGATCCCGTAAGTTAGAATCTAATGTATGTGGGAATGCTACAAAAATAAATCTGAGCTTAGGTCGCTGTTATCGCAGTGTTCGAAGAGATCAACGTGAACGAATTTATATTTGTGAATGTGTTCGGTGAGGCTCTATTCAACGATGGAGTTACTGTGGTAAGTATTTTCAAGTCATGAACTAAGCCAGACAATGATGGTAGACCAAAGCAATGATTTCCATTACTGTTATATTACATTAGAATTTTGGTACTTTTGCGACTTTGTAAACTGACTACAGTCTGAGGAGAATTCAAAAAAGCAGTGAAATTCCAACACGCTGTTTTCAATAATGCCTTCTGCGATACTAGCACTTGCATTAATCGCCTTCTGAGAAGAAAGTGCTATTACAGTACATCTACAGTATATCTACAGTTCCATCTCCCTGCACTCATAATGCAAGCAATCGATATTTGATCAGCGGAGAGCTCATATCTACTAATAAGCAATAATAATCACTCCAACACAACTCATTCGCACTATAAGCTTTTTGAGAAAGAAATCGCTTCCATCGTATACCTACAGTATACCCAAAGCTCTAGTTAGATTCAGCTAGATTCGCAGTCGATGCCTTACAGGGGGTAACTGTCTAACAATTGTCCAATAGAAACACTACAAAGCATTTTATGGTAATTCAACTTGCTTTATCACCAAAAGAATTACTAGTACCGTATCCTACACTATGCCTACAACTCTGTACCTAAGTTCATCCACAACTTGTGATGCAAGCAATCGATGCTTAACCGGACGAATTAATCTCTGCGGGCAAATTGTCGATGTTGTAAACTTTGCTCTCGTGTTCTACATATGATATCACGCAGTGAACAATCAGTTGAGAGACCATGCGTGAACATTGGAACCCGTTGATGACGTCGTTCTTTGTGGCTTAATTTGTGAGTGAACTATAATACGGTCATCTTGAGGAGGGGGCAAATCACACTGTAAGAAACAATTACATCAAGCGATCAGAGACGAGAGAATGGGCAGAAAAGGGAAAAAATTGTTTTGGTCCAGAAAAGTTTAGAGTCTTTTGATTTGAATAGATTATTTCAAGTCACGTGCGCATCGAATTAAGGAACTAAAGCTCAAAATCTAATCATGGCAAATAGTAGTTTGAATGGATCACGGAAAAGGTTTTGAAAATTGTTTCGATCATGAAGTTCGTTTAAAAGAAGAAACGAAAGAGGATGAAATGGATTATACTTTTGAAAAAGAAATCAATTTCTTTTGCACCTAAAGTAATGCAGAAACTTCGAAAAACTCAGTTTTATACTTTCGTCCATTGCCGTACCCGGAGGCGCAAAATGATTCACCTGGAAAGAGTATCTGTTTCTAGTTTATTACTAGTGTATAGAAGCAGTTTTCTGCCGAATTGGCCACTGGCTGCTTGTGTAAAACATTGGAAAATTCCAGTTAAGCTATTCGTTTACCCTCGAAAAACTCATTTTTTGAACTTTTGTCCAATACCGTACTTGGAAGCGCTAAAAGGTCACCTGGAAGAGGTCTGAGGGTTTAAAATGGATTTCTGCTGCAAAAATTGTAAGCTGCCGCTTGGGCAATGGCTTAATCATGCTTGAATGGTACTTCTTAATTGCTTTCGACAAAAGAAAACAAGCGCTTAGCACTTTCTGAACGCCTTTAGGTTTTCTTTTTGCTATGGGACTATACTATCGTTGTAGTGATATCCGTGTGGACCAATGAAACCACTGAGTTCATCATTAGGGTGAATTCTTATAAAGTGCATCTCCTACCGAGTTTTCTTAAATTTCAGGTGCTATATCAAATGTTCAAAGCCTTCACACTTATCGGATCAGAAAATCTTCAACCCGTTGATTATGCAGCTGGAGTGCTTTCATTCTTCGTTGTCGCCCTTGGTGGAGCCTGTCTCGGTCTCATAGGTGCTTTCATCGTCAGCTTTATTACCAAGTAAGTCAATTTGTCAAAATTTACTCTACTTTTAATTCTGACTAAATCATCTGCTTTAACTGGTTCTTTGCCCAATCGCTTTTTTTTGGAGTTACATCACTGCTACAAAATTACCGTAAAAAGTATATCTTTTTCATAAAAATCCTCATTTTCTTTTTCTGACCTTTACCCATTCCGGCATGCGAAAATCATCGACTTTTTGAAGCGAAAATGTGTACACTGGAACTTGTTCTCATCATTCATTTTATGCTTACCCGTCAGATTTTTGTTAACTAAAATTTTGATTAATTACCTGTCATTAAAGCGCTGATACTATCATACATTCTAAAGAACAGCAGTAACTGCATTTTTACTCACCAATGCTCTGCAAAAGCGCATTATCTAATTTCATTTTGATTCTAATCGCTTTATTTTTTTCTCAAGACACTTTTAAATAATTTGTTTGATGATAATGTGAATGGACCACATCAATTAAATAGAATTTTAACCAATAAATCACTCTACCCATTTTTGCTGACAAATTAGAAAAACCTGGAGCCTTGGGGCGCAATCTCAATAAATCAAGAAGTTCAAATTATATTAGTAGGACAAACGGAAATAGAATGTTTTTATTTTGTATTATGCGCATTATGCGCTGACCAATGAATATTACTGGAATAATTTTGAAAAATGCTAGAATACTTCCCTTTTTCTAACGTCATGAGTTTTGAGAGCAACCCCTTTTGGTAGATAGAGCTTAATTACTTGATTTCTCTTTAATTGCTAATAACCTCATCTTCTTGCTTACCATTCAAACATGATAATTTATTTGTGGACTTTTGGTCTGGGATTGCAGAACTGTAGGATTTCAAGTTTTCTTAGGAATGGTTAACCTTTCTTTAAGGTCACCCTAAGTAAGTTTCAAGAACATCATTTGGGTTTTAAAGTTTATGACCACTTTTAATCAAGATTCAGAACTTTATTACGATTTGAAAATCAAACTCTGGAGGTGAAGAATGACATGCATATCCATGTATTTATTTTTTACTTTGAATCTCTCGTATTTAGTCGCTTCATCTAGCTCCCATAGAAGATCAATACATGATTTCAATTTCTTTGAGAAATAGATAGTCGTCATATGACATTAGCAATTTTTGAAAACTATAGTGTGCAAAATACAAGCACTTTAAAATATATATCATAAGCGCTGCAGCTGCACTTTGTAGGAGTGTGCTTTTGTATGATCAGTTTAATTGTAAAGTGAGAATGGTGTGATTTGCTAGCTGCAAGTCAATTTCTCCGAAATGTTAATGCAGTGTTAATTTCGAGCTCTTTCAAAGTTCGTGTAAATGTGCAAAAGGTTAACTGAATCCAATGCATCCAAAATCTCAATTTCTAGGTACACAAATGAAATTCGTATCTTGGCACCTGTATTTGTCTTCGTCATTCCTTACCTCGCGTACCTTACCGCTGAAGTCACTTCGCTCTCTTCCATTATTGCGTAAGTAATCTTCTATGATTAAGCTCATTTGAAGACTGTAAACAGTAGATGATTCGATTACATGATGAGGTACGCAATTTCAGCATTGCCGTATGTGGAATGTTCATGAAGCAGTATGTCAAAGGAAATATAACAACCGCAGCTGCTAACTCTGTTAAATACTTCACTAAAATGCTAGCACAGTCGGCTGAAACTGTTATTTTCATGTGAGTTTAGTAGAATTATAACTTTAATGTAGATTTCAGTTGTAATATATTGAATTATTTATATACTAAACTCATCTTATATATAAAGCTGAATGTCTGTTTGTATGTCTGTATGTCTGTATGTATGTCTGTATGTCTGTCTGTCTGTACGTATGTTCCGAATAGAAAATTCCATTTCTGAACCGATCCGGACCAAACTTGGCACACATACACTTTGGGCCCCGGCGGGTGTCATAGGCTACTTTTCGTCATCGATCGATATCGATTTTATCGATTTTTATCGATTTTTTTGCTGAGTGCACCTACGGGGCTGGGAGTTGGCACAGGGGGGTAATCGAGCATGGGGATTCCGAATACAATATTGGTTTTCAGGATTATCGATTACTTTTATCGATTTTATCGATTTTTTTGCAAAGTTTGAGCTACGGGGCTGGGAGTTCGCACAGGGGGGTAATCGAGCATGGGGATTCCGAATACAATATTGGTTTTCAGGATTATCGATTACTTTTATCGATTTTATCGATTTTTTTGCAAAGTTTGAGCTAGGGGGCTGGGAGTTGGTACAGGGGGGTAATCGAGCATGCTGATCACCCCCAAGGGGGATGATCAGCATGCTCGATTACACTCCTGTGCCAAATTCCAGCCCCCTAGCTCAAATTTTCAAAAAATCGATAAAATCGAAAAAGTAATGGACGATCCTGAAAACTAATATTGTGTTCGTAATCTGCATGCTCGATTACCCCCCTGTGCAAACTCCCAGCCCCGCAGGTCAAACTTTACAAAAAAAATCGATAAAATCGATAAAAGTAATGGACGATCCTGAAAACTAATATTGTGTTCGTAATCAGCATGCTCGATTACCCCCCTGTGCAAACTCCCAGCCCCGCAGGTCAAACTTTACAAAAAAAAATCGATAAAATCGATAAAAGTAATGGACGATCCTGAAAACTAATGTTGTATTCGGAATCCCCATGCTCACTTCGCCCCCTGTGCCAACTCCTAGCCCTGTAAGTGAACTCTGCAAAAAAATCGATAAAAATCGGTAAAATCGACATCGATCGATAACGAAAAGTGGACTGTGACACCCGCCAGGGCCCGAAGTGTATGTGTGCCAAGTTTGGTCCGGATACGGCGGAGCCGGGTAAGCCAGCTAGTAATCTTATAATTTCGCATATCAGATCTTACATATTTGACTTCAGGTTTTTGGGTCTTACTACCATGGGCGCAGATCATCACTGGGATACGTGGTTTGTGGTTTGTACACTGACATTTTGTCTGGTCTACAGAACCATCGGTTAGTGCTTTTCAGAATACAGGCGATCTGGGTTTTCTAAAGTTGTTTTATGGGCAGTGTTCAGAAAATTTTTTACCTGAATATTATATATGTGTAAACTCATTGGCAAATTTATTGGAGGTTTTTACCCAGGCCACTGCTTAAACGGCTCCTATGATTCATAAGTGGATGGAAAAATTCAAAAATCTAGACCAAAACCTATTTGCTGCAGTACTTAAGGGCATTGATTGTTCCTCCCGGAAAATGAGTTTAAGCTAAAATATGGAGCTAATTTTTTCCCAGTTACCCAAAATTACCTGAACGCTACCTCCTAAAATAGGGACCATGAAAGAATACTCTTCACAATTAGAATACTTTATGAACCAACGATATTCATTGCAGGTGTCCTGGTTCAATGTTTCTTCCTCAACAAATTCCGACAAAAGCAATTTTCCAAGGTATGCGTCTGTTTTTAACAATTTTCCTAGAGCCCAAGAGTAATAATTTTAGGTAGATCAAGTTATTCTTGCCTATGGAGGTCTAAGGGGTGCCATTGCTTTTGGTCTAGCAATGTCCCTTCCTCATTCGATTATGGCAAGAAAGATGTTTTTGACTGCTACTTTGATGGTCGTATTCTTCACCGTAATCCTACAGGTATTCACTTCAGACCACACAAACAACTTTGCTTACTGTAGCAGTCATTGATTGATTACTTCTAGGGTATCACCATTCGTCCCTTGATCAAATATTTGAACATCAAAACGAAAAGCGATGAAAAGCCTACGATGGCTGAAAGCATTTACAACAAGGTGAACTCCTCCCCCCCCCCTCCAGCCGTGCACTTTTTTTTGTAAAAGGTTTTGCTGTTTTTAGTACTTGGACTATATGATGTCTGGAGTGGAAGATATAGCAGGACAGCAAGGACAATATTCTATCATGGATACGTGAGTTTTAGAAAACCGTTCCCCCTCCCCCCTCCTTGTCACTACGACGAATTTTTTCAGCTACGAACGATTCAACGCGAAAGTCCTTCAACCAATCCTTATGAGAAATCAAAAGAAGAAGAACTTTGACGCTTCAACCATCCTTCGCGCTTATCAGAAAATCACACTTGAAGATGCAATGAACTTGACAAAAATGCAAAAAGCTGAACACAAAAGAATATCTGCCCTACGAGAGTGAGTTTTCTTGACAGGTGGTGTACTTCTAAAAATAGACCAAACACGGAGAAAAATGTGTTCATTGATGTTTACTTGCATACAAAAAGATGCAAACTTTTCTTATACAGTCAAGTCATGAAGAGTTGCAGCGAAGAGTTACGTGGAACGTACATCAATAAAGCGTTCGACAGGGAGATGCAGAAAGATAGTACGGTCACTCCTCAATCGAAACAACTGGAAAAGGTTAGTAAGGAATTTGACAGATTTGTAAAAAACACTGCTGAAAAAATGAAGTTTTATCTAGCTTTGATTCTTAATTACTCGGGAGTAGTACAACACGCGGTGCTCTCGGTGCCGCTTGATTTTCAAGATCACTGCCATCAAAGCCAAAGCCATACGTTTTTTACATGAGCTTTTTCACAGTTTCTCATTGTCAGAACAAGGCAAACCCCTAATATATAATTGAATTCTGATCTAATTCACGTAAATGTTAGTGTAAATGTTCAAAATTATTGAAAAATCGCAAAATCAGACCCACGCTGTAAAAATCCTACCATTCTCTTTTACTTTATATTCTTGGAATAACTCATGTTTTTTCATATGTAAACTCATAATTGGATTTCAAATCAAAAAACGAAAAGCAGTTTCAAATTTATTTCCTTGCGTGCTCCGACACCCGAAACTTACAATTTTTGCAAAACCTATAAAAACCTATAAAACAACCATATGAACAAAAAAACTGTAGTACCCAGTAATCGTCCTCGATTGACAACTAATGGTCTCTTTTTCAGTTCCTTGCCACTGGAGAGAATGTGGATAACCTGTACAAATTGTTCAGTGAGCTATTGGACAGAAAATTGAAAGAACTGAATACAACAAGGGAGCAAGCGAGCGCCGATGCGGGAGACGACATTCAGGATGATTATATGCGGGAAATGGCTTCAAGCAACGCGGTAAGACACTTCGGACATTTCCTCAAATCTAAACTATTTTTCATTCTTTTGAACATAGCGTGGTAACAATGTAGATCTACTTTTGAAATCCAACAATATAGAATTAGTACAACATTGAAAAGCTACAGCATCTTCATAGTAATCAGTAATCTTACAACTAATCAATTTTCGCTTTTTCGGTACCTTATCACTTTTTATTCTAATCGCTTAAAGAAAAAATAAAAAAAACGTTGGTCTAACTACAGATGTTTTCAAATTGAGAGCAACTTGATGATGCTTGATTAAGAAGAGAGTACTCCAATAGTAAAAATAAAAAACCAAGTGCCAAGCACCAATTATTTTGTTGAAAAAATGTTACTGAAATTTTCTAGCCTTTTCCTCGATGTGCTTCTTGATACATTTCTTTGCAGGAAAACTTTGCTTCTGAAATTTTCAAAGCGTAATAATTATTCAATGTAAACATTTCTTTGTATCTTGCAGTATGAATCATAGTATCACTGCTGTTGCCTAATGATTTTTGCCAAAGATTAATTTTTGAAAAACTAGTTTCGATAATTCTCTGCATTTTGCGGGGCTCACGTCAAAACCTAAAAGTTTTCCTGCAAAGGAATGTATCAAAGAAACTCAATGGAAAAAAGCTAGAAAATTTCAGTGTCATGTTCCACTATCACTAGTCTTGTGATGCTTGCCAAAGATTAATTTTTGAAAAACTAGTTTCGATAATTCTCTGCATTTTGCGGGGCTCACGTCAAAACCTAAAAGTTTTCCTGCAAAGGAATGTATCAAAGAAACTCAACGGAAGAAAGCTAGGAAATTTCAGTGTCATGTTCCACTATCACTAGTCTTGTGATTCTTGCCAAAGATTAATTTTTAAACTAGTTTCAATAATTCTCTGCATTTTGCAGGGTTCACGTCAAAACCTAAAAGTTTTCCTGCAAAGGAATGTATCAAAGAAACTCAATGGAAAAAAGCTAGAAAATTTCAGTGTCATGTTCCACTATCACTAGTCTTGTGATGCTTGCCAAAGATTAATTTTTGAAAAACTAGTTTCAATAATTCTCTGCATTTTGCAGGGTTCACGTCAAAATCTACGACAACTGACCGATGACACGTTGCAAGTGAATGATCCTTACCAAAGAGGCGGTCGAAGACAAAGCACTGGAGGAGTGCAGGAACAAAGGAAAAGCAAAAATTGGGACGAAAGTCACAACGTCTAATCATCATACTTTCTTCATTGTATAGACACCGACAGAGGTGTCGCTTTGATAACTTCGCGAATTTCACAGAAAACAGGTGGTAGAATTAGTTTTGAACTTATTCTGCAGCTCTTTCCAGAGCTAGAGAGCTCCCTTTTTGTATTCGTGATTTATTACATCTATATCGCATCCATGATGATTAATTTATGAGGTTTTGCTTAATTGCCATGTTTGTTGATCAGATTTTCTTAACGACTCTTCTATTACTTATGGAAGAGAATAAAGGTACGATTTGCTCAACCATTTTGTCATGAAAAAAACATTTGGTACAAACAAATGACAAAAAAGGAGAAAACGATATGCTTATGCGAAGAAAATCCCTTCTCTTAATCTTAGTTCATGTAGGAGTATGAAGCAGAGCAAAAGAAATTGTGAAGCAGATTTGAAACTCTTTAGTGACAAAAGAGGGAGACATAGTAATTCATTTGCAGAACAGATTGGATGACTATCAAATCTCGACAAAAAAATTAAGATATTTCTCTGATAAAGCTCTGGTTTGAAACCTCTGCACTGACTTTATTTTGTTTTCATTCCCACTTCGAAATGCGTCAAGATACAAGAACTGTGGCCAAAAGGAAAGATAAACTAAATTTCATAAAGTCCGCCATCCAAAAGCTTGCAATTTTTGAGAGCTTTACGACCTATAGACTATATTCACTTCCGTCTTAACAACTCAAAAACCACTGCCAAAGCTCTTTTCGTGCAACGATTGCTGCATCGTCCACTTTTCAGAAATCATTAGCCTTCAATAGGCACAGCAAACCCTATCTTCTACAGTTTGATGGAACCACAAAATTTTGACATAGGAAGGCTAATTAGTCTCAGTGAGATCTAAAAGTTTATTCTATTTTTTTAACGCGCAAATCACGGATCCCGTAAGCATTCGCAAGTATGCTTGTAAAATATGCGTTTTTTTGTAAGCATCACTCAAATACTCCGAGCGATCAAAGTACTCGCTCCAAAATTCGATTAGAATTGCACAACGATTGTCAAAAAACCAAATAAACAGCTTTGCTCGATTTTTGCATCAAGATCGAATTATGAGTGCGATTTTTTTATTCAGTATCGTCGTTTGCCAGTGGCTGGGCTGAACAAGCCTATTGTCTACGTTGCATTCTAAAAAAACCCAAGCAAAAAATCCATCCCATGTGTCGGAAAAGATTTCGATGACAGCTGAATATTGATTACTGTACATGAACAAATCTTTGTTTCCTTTAAAAACTCTGCACAGAAAAGTTGCTAGAAGAACATAATCTTTCCATTCCCGCAAGATCTTCTAATATTTTGAAAAGGTCAAGTATTTGTGGAGTCACACGAAATGAGATTGACCAGACATTCCACTAGTGTTCCTCTGATCTGTGATGTCATGTGGAGTGCATAGAAAATACGCTAATGAACCTGCTAACAGCAGAATAATATTTGATCCAGGCGGGCAAAATTTGTCGACATATTTCAAACTCAAAGTGCAAAGCATGTTTATTTGAATTCAGCGGAAAAAATAGATTACGATATAGTTTTTTTGTACACTTGCAAACTTCCTTTGGTCTTCTTGAACCCACAATCAAAGATTGGTGACTGCTTTATTCGTAGGCTGGCATTCGAATATCTGTTGGCAAGGACAAGTTAGACATGCACTAGTCGAATATCAGCAGAAAGACGTCTTTTTTTATTGCTACCATCAAAAATTAGCCGCAACAACGAGATCGTTATCATAGGATGTCCCAAGAGCAAACTCCATTTTCACACGAAATAAGCTGTTTTTGCTCTTCTAACAGAATTCGGGTACTATTCGATAGAGCGAAGCAAGCTTTACAAAATGGCCATCCAGACCATTTATGTATAACTCTGGCAAAATTTGAACCCAAAAATCATGATTTCTCAGCTACCCTAAAATTCGGATCTCCTTCCAGAAAATTCCTACTGACCTTCAGTTGATCTCTATAAAATAGACACATAGTAGTACCCAAAAATGTGTTTGGCGGGTTTCTTGCTGCTCAAAATGGAGGAACAAAGATGGTCCGAAAATGCCGAAATGCCACTTTTTGGGTCTTTTATGTAAAACTTGGTATTTCTCGATTATATAAGCATGTATAACCTCAAAAATTGTAAGGCTTGTAGTATATATACAATGACGTATGTGGAAGGGGCTGGAGCAGAAGTTTGCAATTTGATGCGGTTAAGGCATATTTGAGAGCTGTTATGTGCCTACTGTATTATGACCGAGTTTGAGGTCCGTAGAAGCTTTTTTTCGCAAAAATCCAATTTTCAGGTGACTTTTTTCTTCGATTTTGGCTCCAGATTTTACCTGGATTACGATTTAGGGATCTTTGGTGGCCATTTTGTAGAGATTGATTCGCTCTACCTGGGCCCATAGTAATCCACTCTACCTGCCGGCATCTCATGCCGGCAGGTAGAGTGAATTACTATGGGCCGTTACTACTTATTACTCTCCCTGAGGTCGCCATGATATGGACCTGAGTTCCCTAAAATCTCAAACTGCCTCCGGGTACCCCCAAGCCAGGCTGATCATCAATTCTTTGTTTTACGGTCGAGTTTTGCTGTCGAAATAGTATGGGAATTGAAAAAAATCAAAAAATGTCCTCATTTGCCAGTTATTTAGGCCGAATTGTGAACCTGCCGGCAGGTTCGAGATCTATTTTTGTCGAAATTTGAGATGCCATCTAGCTCGCAGCCTGCGCAGGTAAGAAAGTGCAGGAAATAGTGTATAGTTTGTTGAATGCGACCCTACCAATCCACATGCCGGCATCTTTGCAGACGGCGTCTGTGAACTTGCGTTGTGGACAGTTGCGAATTAACGCCGCTAGAATGGCGCCTTCAATCACTCTGCAGAATATTGGAGTTTTTATGAAAAGCTCTCGTTTCCTCTTCATTTCTGCTGTTCGCGTCGTCTTTGATGCTTTCAGTTAGTTTCAAATGGCTGATTTCAGAAGGCCCTGAGAGGCTTGGGCCTCCCAGGCCCACCCCCACCCCCACGCCCTGTATAGATCGCGATGGACGTGATTCCCTCATCACTTGCAACATCACAAAAGAAGCGTTGTCAAAGGTAATTTGGGTTTTTTCTTTGATTCTGCGACTAAATGACTGATTTAGGCAGCTGAAGCTGTACAATCATTGCGCCCAAACACATTTGACATTCGGTTCAATCCCAACTGTTTCACTAATACTGTGAAACATGCTCCTGGAGAGGATCTGGAGAAGCCAGAAAAGGCTTATCATGGATGATTGAATTCTAATATATTTTCATAGTTTCTTTCATAGGCATATCCAGTCATTATCAAGAAACATAATGAGTGTCATACCATATGCCCGACAGACTTCCTACACCATATCTAGTATATTCTTGGTTATCACCTGCACAGGAGGTTGTGGAAGATTCTATACGCACGATGACGCTTCTCAACAGCCTTGCGTTGGATTTGAGGGTGAATTTTGGTCCAATTTTTTTGTTAATCTGGATCTTTTTTTGAGATCTCGAATCGAGATTGAAATCGAAACTGAGTAACCACGAGGTTGTGATCGATGACAAAGGCACACGGGGCTGGCACTGTCCGCAAACGCGAGTGACACAACAGCGAAGCTGCCACGAGCCTGACATGGGCTGGCACGGACCCCCAAAACTCCCTCAAATGTGATTGAAAATCAAGAGTTGGTACAAGGGGGTAAGTGAACACGCCGATTACTAACACAATTTCAAAAATCGATTCTATCCATTTTTTGTGATTTTCGGGCTCCTACGGTGAATCTACCACCGTACAGAGAGGCAATTTTGTGAGGATTCATTATAATATTCGTGTTCAGCATGCCAAATAGCCTCTGCGCCAAAAGATCAAAAAATTTGTGACAAAGCATTTTGGGGCTCAGATATCGTGGTCGATGTATTACATAGAGCCAAACTATCAAAATCAATGCTTATTGTTCATATTACAATATTGAGGAGAACCGTTGCAAAAACTAGAACTAAATGGAGAAAGCTCACGCAAGAATTTTATCCTAAGAGAAAACAATCTGAGAATTTCAGAGCATTAGAAACAAGAAAACAATCCAAAGTAATCAAAATCACTACCAACACAACAGCACACACAGCAAAAGACCAATAAAACAAGCCAAATAAGACGTTAAGCTCGAGAAATACAAAAAAAAGGAGGAAAACTAATTAAAAAACGAGAAAATAAAGCAAGATTTAGCTTGCGCCCGAAATACGAACATGCCGCGAGGTTCGCGAACTTGCCGGCCTCTTTGATGCCACCTGGTAGGGTAGATTACTACGGGCCCTGCTGATTCCCCGAGCGAAAAATTCTATGTTTTGATATGATATCGAAGCAATACAATGAATGGTGTCAAAAGTATGCCCACTGCCTGATCGTCAATATCTCTCCTACGATCATACCCTCGATACATAGCGCCATATGCTCTGGTAACCTTCACTTTGAGGGCTATGAGGGGACACAACCTTCACCTGGGGTAAAAAAACAAAAGTCATCCGGGGCGAAGCCCCAGATGTTGACTATATCGGAAGAATGTGAATGAATATCTGAAGAATATCTCAGCGAAACCGAGAATTTGCCTTTTAAAGCCTTTTTTACGCTGAAAAGAGAATATCTGTGAAAGTTTCCTCTGAATTCAGGACAACGTTCCTCAGTTAGCCTATTACTTGACCAAAAATGAGATTTAAAAGTTTGGGAAAGCGTTGGAGTTGAATTGAAACGAGAAACTGCGCTTAAATGTGCGCAGAGAGTCGCGCACGAAAATGCTGGTCTATCTCGTTAATAAGTGAATCTTATAGCTTGGGACGTTGTCGGCTCTCCTCGTCGTCTCATGACGGTCAGAATGATATATAATGTTACAGGGTTTCGTTGAGACCCCGATGAGATCTGCGGCCAGAGCCAAATGCCCCGTCGGCTCTGGTCCAGGGCCCGGCACGAGCTTGTCAAAAGGGGTTTTCGAAAACGAATTCCCCTTTGACCCAAAATTTTTTTACGATTTCCCCTTTGGCCCCAAAATTGGTCCCAGTGATTCTGCAGTGAACACTTTAACCAAAAAACAAGTTTTATTGACAAAAAAACAAATAACATGCAAAACAAAGACAAAAGAGATCAGATTCAGAGATCTCAGTGATATGTATGAATTCACCGGCAGTTGGGGGGGGGGGAGGGGGGGGGGGGGGGAGAGGGGGGGGAAGGGGGGAATAGGGGGGGGGGGGAGAGAATTCGAACCATCCATACGCTCACAATTTCTACCTCTCACCCTCAAGCACTCGAGTTCCACACATATTCTTCACATTCCCGTCCTCTCACTCACTCTCAAGTACTCTACTAATCCTACAAATATGCCCCTAACACTCCACTCAATCTCAGCCTCAAGTAATCTATCTACACTCTCACAGTACCTTTCACATTCACCTTCATCCTCAACTCTCCACTCCCACACTCACTCTTGAATTCCACTCCTCTCACTCACTCATTTCCCCCCCCCCCTCAAAAAATCAAAGCACAAGCTAGTGCTTGTGCTTTGATTTTCTGCACCTCACTGAGGACACCCGAGTGGCGCGCACGCGCACAGAGTGACGGCGAGGAAGCTCGCCGTCACTCTCCCACTCGGGGTCCTCAATGAGGTTCCCCCTCCCCCCGCGACCTCCCCTTCCACCCAGGCGTTGGCCCGAATACCTTCGGGAGGATTTCACATAAGTGCATACTTGCCTGACAAAATGAAAAGCTTGCAAAAAGAGATACTCAATCATCTGCATTAGCATGTAAGTAATCATATTCATGATAAAATCCGCCAGTCCGAAAGTGGACCAAGCGATCCACCTGAGGATCGATTGGTCCACATTCGGACTGGCGGATTTCATCTTCTCCCTGCGCTCTCTGAACTCTTTATAGTCTCTATCGAGAGACTGTCCGGAAACATGTGCGACGATGAAGAAAAAGAAGAACGCTGAAAAAAGAAGAGATAAAAAGAAAATAATGGGCAGGAAGCTTACCGATTAGCAACCATCGATGAAAGTAGAGCCCTGAGCTGCTAAACTTTTGCGGATAGAAGTTGGGCAAAGAGGACAATTTCATCTTTCCATCTTTCTACACGATGGCTTTCGGCATCCTGCTCCATTCACTAGCTTTTGGTCTTGCTTTCTCTCTCTGAAGGATTGAAGAAGACGTCAGAAAATCGTAAAACATCACGCATGCCAAATACTTACCACTTTTGCCTTGTCCATGATCTTATTCCAATCAGCAGTCTTGTCCTCAGGGACTCTTTCCACTTGCTCCCAAGTCACCTCATCATAAGGAAGACTTTTCCAGTTGATGGGAGCATACTCTAGGCCGTCATTGCCTAGACCGAGGCCAACAACCCGATCGACGACGTTATAATCACTGCTGAAGTCTTCCTCGTCCTAAAGTAGATGATGTTATGATTTTATACAACTAATTCAAAAGATTGCTGTCTATCCACAGTGTAATGTTGATATTTGGTTTGTACTGGTAGCACCTGCATAAGTGTATATAAGTAGAATTGCTTAACTATCAGAGTTAATTTTTACCTGAACAATTTTCCAGCCATCGCTAGTAGCTGAGATAAAGGTTGTCAACTCCTCTTCGTGACATTGTATGACGCGATAAACACTTTTGAATCTCTGTAAGAAATACGATTATAGTTCATTCGCACTGAGCCAAAGAAAAACTATGGTAAAATCTTCCAATGATTTAAAAAATTACTACCCCAGCTTCAGTAGCACTTCTTTCTTTCTCATGGATTCTTTCGTTGAGGAGATGAACGAGCTGAGGAAGATTGTAAAATTCAGCTTCCTCGAGAACTCCTAAAGACATTATAGTAAAGCTGTAAAAAAAAGACAGTTGATTAGCGTAAGCAGGGTTATCATCATACCTTCTTCAGCAAGACCCGGATTGATGATAAGTCGACCATGTCTCAGGTACTTAAGAACGGTTGAAAAATAATCCGCATCACGATCAATTAGGTATGCACCGGTTTCATCCTGGAAAATGATATGAAGCAGAGCATTTTAGCAGCGTGTATAGACTGCGAAATTCAGGGGCCAAAACAAAGCATGCGCCAAACCTCACCTTGACACTCGGTAGTCTTTTGTCGTCCTGACACAGGCGATAAAGAAAAGAGCCAGGGACTTTCATAAGCGTGTCGCGAGTTGTTTGAAAGATCTGAACGTAATTTTATGATTATCAAAAACTGCTGTTAAATTTTTGGCTCTCTAAGTTACCATTATGTTATGAAGTGTTTAAAAAGTGAATCGATAACTTGAAATAATTGGAAATAATTTTGCGCAAAAGCACTTCTGAGCAAAACTCAACATCTTATAAATATCAGCGACGAAACCTGATATTACCTTGCCACCAACATTCAGACGGATCCAGTTACTCGATGAACTGCCAAGATCTCTCCTATCTAAGGATTGGGGCCACTGATTCGAATGCAATGATCCATTGGCAGCCGCGTCCGCATCCTCAAACACACTTCCACGCATGGTTGAGACATCATTTGACCCGTCTTGGAATTTGTACAGACGTTTAAGCTGCTCGGGGACTGAATATATAGTAGAAAAACTTTAGATGATTGATCGCACAAAAACATGTCCCCATTCTGATTGAACTGCTACTAACAATGAAACCACATAAAGGTTCAGAAAACTTACGGGTTTCAACAGAATTTTGGTTCTGCATAGGGTCAGTATTCATCGCTTCTCGCGTCTTCTGCTACCAGTCTGAAATTCACGGAAGCAGTAAGCAGTGCCCGACATACAGTGAAGCTGCAAACTGTGAGGTGTATGTCAAGAGGTGCGATTTCTATTGCCAGATGGACACCAATTAGCGCATTTTTAGCACTTTACGATGGACTGAGGTCAATTTAAATTTCTATAAAGTGTGCATGATCGTACCATGGGTTGCTGGATCTTACTATTCTGAAATAGATGCAAAACATAAGTGTTGGGGGTCAAAAACCCGTAAAATGCAACTGATGGCGTTTTTGTGAACATCTTGACCAATTTTCAACCAAATGCCGTCCAACTTAGCAGATGGCAGCTTCAGATAATAAGTAAGTTGGAGCACTTTTGAAAAGGCCCTCTTAGTTATGAATCAGGCTGCTAAACTGATGAAGTCTGGAGAAATCGCGCCTCTTGACCGTCTCCCGAAATTGTGAGAGAACGAACACAGTTCCACGGAGACAAAATCAAAAGCAAATGGTGAGGGGAAAAGCTACTGTTTTCTTCCATTTCGATAATAAAAGAAAGAGCCAGAAAAACTTGCGCATATCAATGAAATGCTGTCATGGAAGCATATCGTACCATGGGCATATAGAGAAGATTCAAGACAAAAAACTGCTTTCCAGTTTGCAGACACTCTATGAACGAATAACTCTTGAAAAAAGTGCAAGTTCTCAATTGTTTCGCCACGAAACCGAGGGAGAAGAGCTGTTGACGTAAGATTGCTGATAGTGTGTGCTATCCACAGTGGCATATACTGGCATATACTCCTCAACCCCGCTTTACGCTCAAAGTTCCACCCATCAAAAGGAAAAGCGGGGTGGAGGAATAAGGCCCGAAATGAGAGAAATCTAGAAGAAAAACGGTTAGAAACGGTCGAAAAAAAATCCGTCTGCGCATGCAGCACAGTTCCGGCAAGTTCGAGCACAGTTCGAGCGCTGTGCTGGAACTGTGCCGGTTTCGGCTCAGCATGAGTCCTGCCAAGACAATGCTGAAGTTGAAATTGATAAAAAGATTATGGAAATGATGCAACAAGGAATGCACGGCGCGATACAGCTGAAATGAAATCTGAGCGAGACTTGTAGGACTTAGCGATACGCCGTTCGATTGGAGCGCGCTTTAATCCTTAAGAAACGGTTCCCCAGAGGCTATTTTTGGGTGTAGCAAAGAAGAGATGAGGAAGTTTGAAACCAAAATGTTAATATATACTATACAATAGGCGGAGAAGAGATTTATGTAAAAAATTTTGAAAAATTATGTGAATTGAGAGTTTTGACAAGCTCAGCTTGTCATTAGCTTGTCAAATGACAAGCTAATTTGGAAAAAAGTTGAGCACGCTCTTCATTCACATAAGTTTTTCATAATTTTTCATACTTTGTTACCTAGCCCTATTGCGCATATACACACCGAATCCCGTGCGATTTCGTCGCCTCTGCGTTGCAAACGAGCCATTTTTCCATTTTTCTGATAGCGGGAAATTTTCAGAAAAAAGTTTGCCACAACCTTCAGTCACATAATTTTTCAATGAAACTCCTAAGTTAACTCCTACAGGCTTGTGTCCACATACGTACCAAGTTTCATACCATGTCGTCATCTGCGCGTTGCAAACGAGCCATTTGAATTCGCACCTTTATTTACCAATTTTGCGAAATTCTCGGAAAAAATGCTTACTACTCGTTCCATTCACATAAGTTTTTCATAATTTTTCATGCATTGTTTTCACTAGCCTCTCTTTGGTTGCTTACGAAATTTGGTGTCATATCGTTACCCATACATCGAGAACTAATCATGTATGCTGTCAAAATTAGCATCGTTTGAGCGACGCCGCGCGGCGGCAGTTAGCGACGGCGCGTTTTGACGCGCGCGAACTCCAGTCTTCGCCTGTCGAGGCACATAACATGTTAAGATACGCAGAGTAACGGCAACGGCTTTGGAAAATGGATCACATAGAGTCAGCAGACCGCCATTCGCTGTCTTTTTTTTCATGCTAGACACAGCGCTCCGCCTTGCCCTGTCACTTTAAGCTGCACACGCCGTCGAATATGCTCGTCCTCGTCTTGCCTTTCATCCTTGGAGCCAGCGCCATCGAGCCATGCGTGCCCTACATCAGTGAAATATCAAATTTCACCTTTGGGAACTCCAGGGATTTGCAATTCATTGAACTGCAAGTCGCGGAAAGTTGCCGTACAAATCGTAAGGCCATGCAGGAAATGATCTTCAGCGATTACGGCCTTGTCATTCTTCACACAAAATCACGAGAGGTGGGCAATCAAACGTCTTAATTCTCATTTGGTAAACAGCTTTACAGAAAGGAGATCGCTTAGCATTTGAGATGAAGACATTCGTGAAGTTTGCGAGATCGCTCTGGCCCAAGCAACGCCATGAAACCAACGCAAAGAGAGGTGGCCGCAGAGTTGCCGATGAATTTCTTGCCTTCTTTGTAGTGGGTGGGCCAGCTACACTTGCTCCTCCTGTAACCGCTGGTGATCGCTCTGGAGAAGCGATTAACTGGGATATGTACACAAGCGATATCGGTGTCAAGTGCGGATCTCTTATCAATTGGCCGCACTGCGAGCAGGCAATGCCTCAGGTATTGTTATCTTTGAACAATGCCAGAGTTCCACATTTTAATGTAGGTGCTCTTTTAGGGACAAGGATCTTTAGACAGGCGATTATATTTTCAATTACAATAGCTTCCGCTTCCGCGCACAGACAGCAAGCGGTTTTCGCTTTACATGTGCACATAAAAGGTGTCTTCCACGGCACACATTGTATGAGCACCTCCTTAATAGAGGGGTGGTGCTCAACTTTCCTAGAGCTCCACTGCTGGACTGCTCCCCGGAAGGGACATCTTCTATGGTACTGGTCATCGAACAAGTATGGCTGATGTTCCCACGTCTTCCTTCAGCCGTTCTACACCCAACGAGAGACGTCGCAGTTCAAGCTGCTGGAGTGGAGGAAGACTATGAGAGGATGCAAGTTAGTTCTCTGCTAAAAAATCTCATATTTATTTTTTATTTGATTGCATCAATAACAAAATATCATATTTTACTATCATTACTCCATCGGTGTTCATCTAAGGAACAGAGTCGGCGTCGTCTTTCACTTTCCTCGAGGCGGAGCGACGTTCTATATCCAATAAGAAGCGTCCCGGTTCCAGTTGCTGGAGTGGAGGAAGAGTATGAGAGGATGCAAGTTAGTTCTTTGCTAAAAATTCTCGTACTTGTTCAATGACAGAATATCATATTCGAAAATATCATATTTGACTACCATTACTTCTTCGTCATCTATTATTCATTTCAGGAACGGCGTCGGCGGCGGCTTTCAACTTCCTCGACGCGGAGCGACGAAGCTGGACCCTCTAGAATTGAATGGCGAAAGTGAAACAATATTCTTTATTTTTCGAGTCAAAGTTGATGTTTGTTTTGTCTTCGTCTCGATAAAGTTGTAAACCCACGATAATTCATTCTATGCATGTCCAGATGAGAAGGGCTCAGCTTTGCCATCATAACTATCAATTTTTTTTCCGGGGCTCCGCCCCGGACCCCGCAAAAACGATTTCCCCTTTGCTTTTTTTGCCCAAAAACGATTTCCAGCTTGTCATTTGACAAGCTCGTGCCGGGCCCTCCTCTGGTCTGTCTCCGCTGCTCGTCTGCGTCTCCGCGCGCTGCGCGCTACCTCGCTACCCCAAACGCGGGGCGCGGGGCATTTGGCTCTGGTACCCTTTTCTCCGCTGTTTCGAACCCAATTTTGACAAGCTATATACAGTTTTGAAGCTCTTGATCTCTACTTTTACACTGACAACGTCCCAAAATCGAATTTTTTGATTTGAACGAGAAATCCGGCAAAAACCTTGTTTTCGAAAATCTCTTGTTTTTCTTCTAGTCTACCTCTTTTTACGCGGTTCTTTCGTGCATTCTATAGGTCTTGCTTCTGTTCATAATGCAGACAACCACCCAGCCTTTATCTCTTCGATTATTGTGGAATTTTTTACGAAAAATCGTAAAAAGTGCGTTTTTCTTTACCTTGTTCTGTTTCGGTGCTTTCGCATAGATTTTTTTCCAGCTTGGACGATTGTTGCTCAGAACAATAAGCGCAACAATCCAGACAACGTCCCAGGAAACAGGAACGTCAGTGCGGGGGTAAAAATTCAAAGGACGCATCAAAAATCGAAGCCCCGTGTTGCGAATTGCTGGTCCTGAAGCGAAAACTTGCAAAGCCGCCAAATGAAAGAATTCGAGCCTCAGTGCAGCGTTTTTATCCGGTTTTCAGCAGTTTCTTTTGCTTTTTATATCTGTTTTATGTCATTTTCTCTTCTCTGATCACCTTTAAACGACCTTCACTATTCATGACGTCAGATGTTCAAACAACCTTCACTTTTGACGCCCTGTCTCTAGACTATCGAAGGTATGCCTACGATGTCTTTCGCCTTTGCTTAAGTAACTCTGTTAGCTTTAATCTATAAAAAAATCACAGTATGGCATTTACTGATGTCGTTAGCGCAGAATTACAAGGATTCCGAAAAGTGCTATGCAATGATAATCTCCAAAATAGCAAGAAACTCTGTTACGACGCAAGATACGATCAAAGTTTTTGAACCCTGGCATCGCACCTTGTCATAGAATCGAAAGTTACGCGCTACCTACAACAGTAGTCCGGAAATCCTTAAAAAACCAATCTCGCCATCTGTTCCTGCACAAACATTAGCAAGGTTATACTCCAAATTAGCGACTCGAAAACCCTACCAACAAAAGATTTCACGTGTTTTAGAAATTTTTAAAATTGCAGACAATTTGCGAGAACACCACCATGCTCGAAGTTCCTACCGTGATTTTACTGTCGGAGAGAGACTGATGATTCGCTCTTTATTAAACCATGTGTTATAATTTGGATCGACTGGTGCTACTATTCATGTGATTTTATTATTAAACCATTGTGATCATTAGGTTGTCCCGAAACTTCTGTCATTTTAAGTCTGAGAATTTATAAACTTGATCTCAACGGACCCTTTTTTTGCCATCTCATCTGAAAGAAAAAGTCTTTCGCTTTCAAATGCTCTCTTTCGGACCTTCAGCTGCCCACTAACTGCAGAGATAAAAATGGAAAAGAAGAATATAGCGCTTTGATTATTTTGAGTTACATAGATCGCCAAAAATCTGGAACGTTGCAGAAAAATTTGAAATTGTCAGCACATAAACTTTTTGATTTAGTCTTTGCAACTGTGAAAAGATTGTGCTGTATGAGCTTCTGCGAGAAGTTACGAATTTCGGGTTTATTACAGAAAACGCCAGGATCAATTGATTTATCGTTTTTCTCGATCTTCACAACTTTTTACAGACACATTCAAACAGCCAAACTCTACACAGTTGCATTTAGTAGGTCAGGAAACTCTTATACCGTTTTTCTGCAACGTCCGAATTTTGGGGAATCAATCTTGAATTATCAAAACCCATAACAGACATTTTCCATTTTATCTCTGTAATCAGTGTGTGATGAAGCACGGCAAGGCAGTATTCGAGAGCAGAAAACTTACTCTTCCCAAAAAATTTATAGAGAATCAAACATGGAGATAGCGCAAATCAACCGTGTGCTATTTAAGAGAACCAATTTTTACCGCCTGGAAATTCCATGTAATGCGATCGGCTGTTTGCGTTTGCTTGCAGCGGCTTCAAAAGCTCCATCACAGCCCTTGTGAATTAGTTGTCATATGTATAAACCCATGGCTTGACTTTGCCGTTGATCTCTTCTTTGTTTGATTTGAGGGCAGCAAGGCAGGGCCACAAGGGCACAGGACTAACACAGCTTGCTCACGTTGATGCAAACTTGCTTTTATAAATCATCAAGTACACACAAACATCTTGAGACGTTTGCAAAGCACAGTACTATGAAAAGAAGTTGTTGTCCTTTTGCAGGGTCACACACCCTTGCACTTGCGAATGTATCACATTTTGAGCTCTACAAAGAAGTCGTCTGTTAGGCTCATTTTCAGATTTTTATGGCGATGCTTCCAGAGGGCAAGAATGCCGGGCCCCACAACAGGGCCCGACAAAGATGGTTTGGGGTCAAAGTGAACTTCGTTTTTGGGGTAAAAGCAAACGAAGTATCGTAAACTTGCTTAACATGCACATAATTGACCTCCAGATATGCTAACCATCAAGCTAGTACTTGAATGATATGCTCTAACGTGTTCTTTCTCATCAAGCGCACCATTCAAAATGATGCTCAAAATTAGGTCGTTCCATAAGGTCGTAGCGTTCTATAACCCAATAGAATCATCAATTTACAGTAAAAATCAATCAAACTTATATTCCTCGTTGTAGCGCGCGACCTTTTGGCACATTCTTGTTAGCTTCTCAACCTCATCAAACGGCAGCGCGCCGGGTCCAAAGAAAGTCATCTAATTAAAGCTCAAACTACTTACTGAAATCGAGACATGCACCATACATGAGGTTTGCTAGGGACGAAGCAAATAATAATCTGATAGAGCGAGATTTGGAGAGTACTTTGGGTAAGGAACTACCTTCCAGTCAAATCGTGCAGCACAGTTTTGACGACGTTTGCCGTATGAGGCCATGTTTCGTATTGCAGAAAACTCGCTGGATCTGTATGTTAGGCTTTTTCTGCGGTAAGATCTGGTTTAGACGGTGCAGTTGGATTGCTTACGGTATGGTGCTTACGTATGGTTGACCATCGCTTACCTGTATTACCTGTACAGCAATTTTTAGTGCAGGACGTCCTGTCCCGGTCTCCCGAAAAGTCTTGTTCAGGGACACCCTGCTCAGCCCATAATCTTTTGTAGCAATCCAATCCTTTTTTGTCTCATATTGATATGCGAGCGCCATGTTCTATAATCGACACAAAAATCTTTGCAAAAGCGCTTCTTTTCACAAGGAAAAATGAGCAAATGCTGAAACTGCTCCTTTTTGCCATTCAAGATTTCCATCTTTAGAAGCTGCGAGATTCGAGTGAATCAGTTTTCCACCAAATCAATAGCCGTATTTCAAAGAGCACAATCAGCACTTAAGATATAAACATTTTGCCGCAAGTCAACCGCTCCTCAAGGATATGAGGACGAAAATGAAAACGCTACGAACTTATGGAACGACCTAATAAACAAATGGCCTGTTTTCGGCGCACAAGCAATCACATGACACCGAATTTGGGCTATGTGAATACAATATTACTCCAAACAGCATTATGTAAAAAGTTTGAAAAACTCATGCGTCCTAACACCCGTTCCCGAACTTCTTGGTTTCTAGACCATCACCTGCTCAGATATCTTGTTAAGCAGTTTCGGGCGTACGCCTAAACAATTTCAATTTCAAGCGGACCGCAATACATCAGCGACCTATTTTCCGGTGCGTGCTCGCCCAAAAGTCGCATGGCCGCCCGGCCCTGGCGGTTTTATCTGAGTGAATTGGTTCGGACCATAAGTAAATGGAGGTTCACATAAGTCTCGCGCTTTTCAGTTTGCAAGATTAGAATGCTTAAAAACTACCATATAGTGAATAGAGCGACTTAAACATTGCCCATCCCTTTCTAAAGCCGATAATAGTATAGAGAAACGCATTGATAATATGGCGCTCCGAACACATGCCTACCAACGTTTAAACTGGCAACAATGTTTTTTGTTCTTGTTGTTGCTGCTTCAAATCGTTGTTGTTTTGTTACCAGTTCTATATCAGTGGGGACT